GGCTACCATGTGCAAATATTAAGCTACAGATGTAAATATCTAATCTGTCACAATTACAGCATCAATCTTATAATGGGAATAGCAGCCTCTCCATTAGACTGCTGTACTTTGGATATTAGGAGGAATTTATTTACTAAAAGCGTTGTCAGGCATTGGAACAGGCTGCTCAGGGAGGTGGTTGAGTGGCCATCCCTGGAGGTGTTTGAGATGGGTAGATGTGCTGAGGGGCATGATTTAGTGGTGTTGATAGAGAAAGGACAAAGGTTGGACTTGATGATCTTGAAGGTCTCTTCCAACCAAAACTATTCTATGATTCTATGATGGGATTCTTTGGTTCTATAGGGATCTTACTGATGTGTATAAATATCTGAGGGGTGGGTGTCAAGAGGAAGAGGACAATCTCTTTTCAGTGGCGCACAGTAACAGAACAAGGAATAATGGGTTTAAGTTAGAACACAGGAAGCTCCACCTCAACATGAGGAAAAACTTTTTCACTGTAAGGGTGACAGAGCACTGGAACGGGCTGCCCAGAGAGGTTGTGGAGTCTCCTTCTCCAGAGACTTTCAAACGCTATCTGGATGCCTTCCTGTGTGGCTGCCCTAGGGGATCCTGCTCTGGCAGAGGGGTTGGACTAGATGGTCTCTAGAGGTCCCTTCCAACCCCTGATATTCTGTGATTCTATGATTCTGAAGGGAAATATGCTTTGTTACTTTTTCTCTGGAATTTCTTTTATTCTGGGTTTATTTACTTATTTGTTTCAGAAAAATAAAGCATCTCTGGCTGCTGCCAAAGCAGACCCAGGTCTCGACTTTGCCCTGCTACAGCCTGAGCTCTCCTGCCTCCATAAAGCTCTGAAATATTGACCTCACTTCTCCTCTGGTACCTCAGGTTTTGCAATGTGCAGAAGGGAGCAGAGCTGAGCCAAACCTCACCTGGCAGCAGAATACATTTTGCTTTTTATCAGAGCCACCTCCACACTGACGTGACAGTCTCACGAGCTCCTACAGGCAGACTGGGCTCCGAGCATCACTGGAGCCCTGCTTATACACCGATGGAAAAATAAAAGACTTCTCTCCCATCTTCTTCAGGGTGAGAGGCTGCAGCTGAGAAACATTTAGAATTTGGAGAATTTTTAGTTAATTGAAGTAAATCAAACATATCTAGCTGCCTTTCTGACTATTTCATAACAGTATCTTTTTAAGCTAATACTCCACCAGGGAACACAACTTGCAGACAAAAAAAAACCCTCTGAAGTGCCTTGAAGAGATCTGAGCTTTGGACTCTGAACTTTGCTGCTTATAAACAATCATTTCAATCTGCTGGGCCGCAGCGGGAGTATGAGGCTTCATAAAACGGCTTAGGTGTTGTAATACTGAGTGCAGCAGCGTTTAACTCCACGTCTCACTATCCAGCCTCCCCATGCAATCCAGAAGATTTAGACACAAAGAACCAGATCTGCATGGGTCAGTGGGGAACCGCTTTAGGAACTGCTGAGGAGAGCACAGCCCAGCTGTGCTGAGGTACCTCTTTCTGATCAGGTTTCAAGCCCCAGATCCCTTCCCAGCACAGGAACTGAAGCAGCACACTCTCATAAAACAGCAACAGCAATTCCAGCACTTGCTTAGGGTCTGGAAGAGAAAGATCCAGTGCTCTTCTTCCACTGCAGAGATGCAAGGACTCCAGACCCAGCCCTGCTCTGTAGCTGTCAGGGCATCCTCTTGAAGTCATTCTAGTTTTCATGGAGAGAAACAGATGAGGTTTGACCAGAGGAGATGGGCACCAAGGTTGCATCTAGGCACTCTGGAGTTAGGACAAGGACAGCTTGGGGGTTCAGTCACAGTCTAGTTCAATGGGTGATAAGTCTCTTTTTTTTTTTCTTAAGGAAAAATTTAAACTTCAGTGTCATGAACTTGGGGTTCCTAAAGTTAGGAGACAGAGCCATCACCCTCTGCAGGGGCCTGCAAAGCATCCTGGCCTTTGTCAAACCACTACATATCTCTGTTTCCTCACCACCCTACTCAGTGGTCCCATTTCCCAAAATGTGTTCCACCACGTTTTTCTCTCTCCCCTTCCCAATAGCCATAAATACCCCAACTTCACCTCATCCTTACCACTCTGAATGCAGGGAAAGGGGATTGGCTTGAGGTCAGTTTATTTTTTCCTACACTTCTTTCAAATCCCTGCATATGGCTTCCTAACCTTGAGTCTACCCCTATCCCTCACCTATCCTGTGGTCCTTGCTCAAGCCCTCTGTTTATCTCCTTGGTCCAGGTGCTAGGACTGGCACAGGAACTGTAGGAGAGAGGTGAGCAGGGCAGAAGTTGTGCATGAAGACTATCTGCTAGTGGGTAGTAATCATCTGAGCAGGCAAGTGCCTCTAGGCAGGTGGAGCCAGACCTTGCCCTTTTTCTGAAGCAGCTTGTAAACCCACCTAGAAAACAGCTCTAACCAATCTACCGGAGTTATAGTCTCTCCTTTCAAAGCAGAACAGACAGCCAAAGGGACCAACAGTCCCACTTGCTCTCCAGAAAGGTTAATCAGAGAGATAAAGCATTTGCACAAAAGGGAAGTGTGAATCTACACCTTCTTGTGAAGAAAAAGGAATTGAGCCCATAGCCTGCCAGCATAAGCTAGCATTAAATCACAGCAAGCAGTGGCATTGAGGCCTCCTTCTTCAGCCACACCAGGAGAATACCCACCTTGCCACGGATTTCTGCCAGAAATCACCTGTACGTGATTTCTGGCACCCTGGGGCATGAGACCAGCCTGTCCCCTAGTCCCAGGATGACCAGCAATTGAGGTCCTGTGCAAACCAAAAACTAGTTGACACTGAAGAATTTGCAGAACCGCACTGAAGGACGCTTGCAGCTCTGCACAGCCTGCGAATGAGTTTGAAGAAACCGAGTTTTGGGATCAAGCCCAGCTCTTTCAAGGATTCTTAGATGCTAGTCCAAATTGTTTACAATGGAGATAGCTGCCTACAGACTTTTCAAGATCTGAGCCCTTTGGGCCTTAAACCAGTTAAGAGGCTAAAAGAAGTGAAGTCACTCAAAGCATTCAGGTCAGCTGCATACCAGGTGGGACACCGAGTTCCAGTCCCAGTCTCACCCTGGAGCAGCGGTGGCTCAGGTTGCCTCTGCCTGTTCTACTCTGCAAGGGCAGCTCTTACCTTGGCCAAAGTTTCAGTCCATGAAAACTGACCCCAAGGGCACAGCAGCACTGTGGGGAAAATCCTGAAGATAATCTCTGACCTTTGCTGTCTAGAGAGAGAATGCTTCAAGTCAGAATGTATTTACCATATTAATGCTAAAACAGTTCCGTTCTAATGACAAGCATGATGTTTCATCAAAATTCTTAGGAGATTTATATCTGCTGTAGCTCTCCTTAGGATGGAAGTTGGATGTAAAACAAGCATATGTTTCTTGTTACAGTGCTTTTGCAAAAAATTCCAGTTTCTGGGTTGACCGATTCAGAATTTAAAGAAATCAGTCTGCCATAACAAACAAGATCTTCAGTCATCAAAATTTACTCTTATATTTCACTCTGTATTTAATAACAGAACTTCAAGTGAAGTGCGAGTTTGCTAAAAGTGATGAAAATGAATTCAAGCTTAAATTGTCATCAAACTGCAAAATTAGCAATATCAGCTCAACCTCCATCTTAATCTGACATGCATAATTTAGATGTGCCAAACATGTTGTGTACTCAACCTACAAAAGGCCCTCAGTGATCTATGGAACCTCTATAGGATTTATATCCAAAGAAACACATTAATGAAGATGAAGGTTTCAAAGTCAAGTTCAGAAACACAAGATGTGCTGTTCCCTTGTGCATTACATGACCTTACATTGCAGGTTTGCCTTCTGCCCAGCAGGAACCTCTCTCTCATTCAATAATTCTTTTCCGTCCTTTTCAGAGCATGGTTCAACCTCGTTTTCTGCACCCTGTACAGGCCACAAATCTATCAGCTTCTTTATAAGTACTTCTGCACTTACCATTAGAGGAACATGGACTGTAAATCAATCTTTTTCAAATGAGAATCCCCGTGAGACTTGCTCCTGGTACCACCACCTGTAGCATCCATTTTGTGTATGGATGAAAACTGACACTTTAACCCAGTACTTTCCGAACAGATCTACTGAACCTAGGATGCAATTACGCTACACTTCCGCAGACATAGGCCCAAGCACCATATATTAAGCATTTAGCAAAATAGTGAGTTTCTGTGAACCAAGCATCTTCACAAAATCACAGATTGTTAGGGTTTGGAAGGGATCTTGAAAAATCATCTAGTTCAACCCCACTGCCAGAGCAGGATCTCACACAGAATACTATTAACTTCTACTACTCATATCTGACTCTTAAAAAGTTAAATTTGAGTGTAAAAAGGTTGGTGATTTCAGGTGTGTTAGGCTAACTGGAGCGTGTCTGCTTTGCACTCCGCTCAGAGGTCAGCCTATTACTACGTGCCTGATGCCAACAACACCGTTTTCTCTAAACCAAATAATTTTTCATAGACTTTTGAACCACATTAATATTTTTCTACAAAATTCCACCTTTGTAGAAATTTGACCAGCTATGTCTTTCAAGTGCTACTGGTATAAAGAGCTAGTGAAACATTTCCTGATTTTGCGATTAAGGAATCATCTGTATTTTCCATTATTGTAATACATAGGTACTTAAATGCACAACACGTTACACTTTGCCGTCCTCATGATGCCATTGTAACATCAACCATTGGTCCAGTATGGTTGTCTCCAGGGAGATGAGATTAAGGAAATAAGCAATCCCTTTTTTATTTAACAGAGCAACTAGCATCAGCAGCCTTGCGTGTTTCTTACCTAACCCTACGACTGCAGAAAAAGCTGTACTATGAAGATTAAGAATTAAAAAACTGGAATGAAGACTGCATACCACTAAGCTAAGATGTAATGTATATGCTCAAAGGAAAGCTCTGACCATTAGCTTGTTAACATTCATAAAGAACTCTTCCAAGTAGATTTTATACTTTGACATGTTTATTTTAGTTGGAAGAACAGACTCAGTGAACAAGCTGAAACAGTATTCCTCAGCCTCACATTTGCTTCCCTGCAGACCTCTATAACAAATGTTTTAAAATATCACGAATATGTGGCTATTTGCATGAAGTAGTTTAAGAGTTATTTCTTGTTCCATGCTTCTCTTTCGAGTCTTTCACGGATTACTTCTTTTAGGTATGGTTCAAGATAATGCTGATCCTGAAAAAGAAGAGAATATATTTAAACATGTAGGGAGGTCCAGAAACATCTCAAGCCATTCCTACAGATTACTTGTTTCTCATTCCTCCTCAGATTTGATTAAAACCCAAACTAACAAGGGGAAAAAAAAAATAAAAATCAAACATTACTTGCTCTGAAAAGGTAAACTTTGTACCTACCAAGTTTGCAATGACAAGTTCTTTACTGCAGCAACCACTAATTCCTTGTGCCTCGCCAACATTAACAAGCAAAGTGATGCTTCCAGCTATGCCTTTAGAAACAGTGTTGTTTTGGCAGGTACCCAAATTTACAAGATCCACTTTAATTAGCTGAAAGTCCAACTATAACAGTCTGGAGAAATTAATTTTGAACTTACCTGCTTAACAGCACTATAAACTTGGGAGTCAACGGAACACCTTAACCATGTTTAACACTTGCAAACCAAACTGCTGCTTGAGGACCAGATTTCAATGCAGCAGTTACCTAAATACGACCAATAAGACCACGAGAAACTGTCTCTGCTTATAGGGAGAAACCCAAGACCCTTATACTATTCTACAGTGAGAAGTTTAGTGATAAAGTTTCTCTCTGCCTAGTAATTTGGAAAAAGCTGAGATGGACAGTAATGTCAAGTCTGTGAATCAATCCACTACAGTAATAAAAATAAAAATTTTAGTTATATCTGAAAAGAAAAGTGTAGTTTAGTTTGATTTTTCAATTTACAAAAAGATATTTATTTTAACGCAAGATTTCCTTTTAAATTATTCTTCCTTGGCATCTTAATGAACAAAAGCTTTGGCTCGATATTTCCTATAAAATTAAGAAACTCAGCAGAAAAACAAGAGACCTTTTATAGGAATTTTCAAGCTAGTTACAGTGTATTTCTTTATCTGATAGATTAGAAGAAATATTTTGTCTGAACACAATGTGCTATGGCTCTGAGCTTTTGTCATATTGAGAAAAAAAGAGATTTTCAAATAGCAATCAAAAGTTGTGTTTTCTGGAGGTATCCTATGAGATACACATTCATTCACTCATTTTAAAGAATATGTAAGCTGGCAACTCTTGAGAGACTGAAAATTCCAAAGACCAGTCATAGCAGTGCCAGTTAAGGCTTCCACCTTGAAAACACTCTGCACACATACCTCTTCATACTTCACCCACTGGTCTTTCGGAAGGATCTGATGTTTCAGGCTTAAGTCGAGTGCTCGCTTTATGCGAAATATTCTTTCATTGTACAGATGTTCTGGGAGTCTCTTCACTGCTTCTTTTACATCATCATCTTCATATAACGTATCATCTCGCATTAGTCCTGTAACAAGAAGATTTTACATATCACTGAATAAAAGTTAAGTAAGATTCAGGCCCGAGACAAGTATTTCTACATAACATGGTCAAAATGCTTCCAGTGCAAAATTACGAGGAAAAACCAAATCAATCCATGAGAAGACACTAATTGCTCACAGAGAACAAACTTTAGGCACTGGCTTTCACATAGTCTTTTTACTTGGTTTTACTCCTTTTCTTAAGGAGAAATAGGAAAAAAGAGAATTTAATCCAAGGTGTTTCATAAAAGTATAGATAAACAAAACAATAACTATCCTGGATCCAAGGAGTGGACGTATGCTCATCTAATTTTATACGTGTATTTAAGATGACTGTCTAGGTAGTAGGTTTAAGAGCTCTGAATCAATCAGAGTAGCTCAACCACAAATGTGGCTACTTCAGTACTGAAGTATTCTCTAAACTCCACTCTGCATAACGGCTAGATCTCCATTGACTATATTAAGCTATGGAAACCTGAAGCCAGATGTTTGGCATGAGTTGGTTCCCTCCACTTCTGTCCCCTCAAATCAGAAGTTAAATCAGGAAGAAGCACCTCATATTCTCAAAGCCAAGAACACTCCAACAATGTTTGTGGAACAAAGGATTCCTGAAATTCAACCAACCCTCCTTTAAGTTTCAGGACAACATAGGAGAAAATGTTACTTCTTTAACATTCCAAAACCGATGCAGATTACATGAGTAAACTTATTGACCTGTGGTTAAAGGTTTTGTTTTCACGTGACTCAGCTGGCAGTGGTCCCTCAATAAAACCGAAATTTCTTTTGAGCCACATATTCTTGAACTCAGTTTTGTAGTTTACTTCAAAGGTACAGGGAGCATGGCTACTAGTTTAATCACTGAGTAAACTTGGTGTTTCTCCTCAGTTTTTAGTCACAGTCCCAGAAAAGCAGCAAAAATTATTAATGCCTTTAAGAATTTCAGCAGACAGATATAAAAAGATAGGCTAAGCACTGCATCTCTGGAAGAAAGACCTAAGTTTATTCCCCTACAGTTGTCTTGCAATTTTTTTTTCTAACTTCCCCAGGGTAGCAATGTTAATATCCTTTAAATGATTTGCTCATATTGTGATCAGCAGTAACTTACAGCCTCTGAATATTCAGATTCTCTTGTCATTGAAGAACCACTCTGCCATCTAAATAGCTGAAACAAACTTACACTATTTTTATCCCTACTTCACCACTGTGCAGGCTAGAGAGACACCAAGTAAAGTTATCGTGATACAAAGAGCACAACTAACTAAATCCTTTATTGCACTTTGGCTATTTTGTCTCAGTATTGCAGACAGACTTACTGCTACCAGTGGGAACTTCTTCAGCTTCAAGGGCAGCATTTGGGTTAGAAGATACTGACCAGTGAAAGTAGGAAAAGATAAATAACCAAGCTTTCAGGACTGCTTTGTGAAAGTTTTTTTCAACTACTCCAGCTTAACCTTAGCTGTTACGCTACTTCACTGAGACAAGAGCAAACACAGAAATAATCAAAGTCACTGATTCACTACTAGCTAGCAATCATGATGACTGAAACTACTCCTAGCCTTCTCCCCACAAAAGTAGTAGCTAATTTTGATCAAAAAACACCTATGCCAAACTGCAGAGGCATATACCAGCTGTGAACCAGAACTAGTTTGAAGACTGTTACATTTGCAGTTTTAAAAACTCCATGGATACTTACCGAGTTTGTTGAATCCAGCTGCATTATAATACCACTTGCGAATCTTGTCTATCAGGCGACCACCTCCTGCAACTGAATGTGACCGTCATCATTTACAGTTGCAGAGCACAGTAAATCTCAACATTTACAGGCTACTGTGACAGTACATAAATATTTGCTGGCCTCTTTCACATGCAGTAATGCAGCACATCAATTCAAATTTGAACAAATATGACTCGACCCCTCTGCTTTTCAGTGTCAGAACAGGTAGAATGAGTGCTTGCTATGTGACCTGTTTCACTAAATTTGAGTATTAAACTGCTATAAGACTTGGAACAATACTAACAGTTTGCTGTCAAAGCCAGCACCAACACTTTTAGGCTCTGTAACTCTTACTGAAGTTAAAACCATAATATTCAACACAAAGCAAACCGCCACGCTTTTCACATCGCTTATCCAAGTTCCACAGCTCTCACTACGGGTTAATGCGATTTCAAGAGCAGCATATTATGATGTTGTTAACCTTCTGCTCTCCTCTCCAGTTACTTAAATGCTATTCCAGAGATTCCTTTTTCAAAGAGCTGCCAAAGTCAATTGGAAAGTCAACACTGAAACCTCGGAAAAAAAAAAAAAATCATTGACTGTAAGAAGTAAAACACATGGAGAACGTTCACCTTTCTTTAACAGTGCTTCTGAATAGCAGAAGTGTTTTTATGTGGCCACCGCAGTACCAAGCACCATTACAGCAACTCAACAAAAGGGTCTAGAAACCCACAAGCCGCACAGTCTGTGCAATGCCGGGCACGCAAGATCTCCTCCAGGACTTTTCGTTGTCCTACTAACTCACCCATAAAACCACTGCGCTCTGTGACCCCAGCAGCCCATCAGTCACCACCGCACCAGGCCTCCCTCCCTGGCACTCCAGCGCTTGCCAAGGGATATCAGAACAACCCAGCTGCCGGGGCCAGCGCCTGGGCAGGGCGGCAATCCCGAGGCCCCTCTGGAGCAGCCCAATGGCTCCTTAGGTGCTCCCA